TAAAGGGAGCCTAGATTTTTTTTTTAATTCAACGGTCAAAAATACTCGAATTAATTAACGCACATTTTGATTAATATTTTTTTTGTCTAGTAATTAACAGATCATTCATGCAATAATTATAATATTCATGAAGATTATAAAGATTTAAACTCGTAATATTTTACAATCGTCTCTATTACAACTAAAGTTATCATTTAATTGAGCATAGATGTTTGTATAGAAAGATTAGTCTTTCTTAGTTCCCAACTCTTGTTAGTCAATTTTTATGGTATACGAAATATTATCTCCCAAGTTACTACCAAGACTTGAAACTCTAGAAATGGACTAAAATAAGGAAGGCACTAATTCTTGAGTGATAGGATTGGAAGCAATGATAAACTCAGAGAAGAGAGAGATGGATTTAATGTGTGATGATTAGGCGTGGTAAATGATTTGAGCTCTCGAATTCGATTTATTTTGGATTTAACTTAAACTCGATCATTTAAGAAATGAATTGAGTTTGATACTCGTTTAGAATGAGTCTTATAAACACGACTTATTTGGAGTTAAAGTTTATAAAATTTAATTCGTTTATATATAAAATAATCATGTTACTCAAGTTCGATTTATTTTACTTTCAACTTAGATTCGACTTATTTTAAGTTTAAATCAAACTCATTTTTTANAAATAAGGAAGGCACTAATTCTTGAGTGATAGGATTGGAAGCAATGATAAACTCAGACAAGAGAGAGATGGATTTGATGTGTGATGATTAGGCGTGGTAAATAATTTGAGCTCTCGAATTCGATTTATTTTGGATTTAACTTAAACTCGATCATTTAAGAAATGAATTGAGTTTGATACTTGTTTAGAATGAGTCTTATAAACATGACTTATTTGGAGTTTAAGTTTATAAAGTTTAATTCGTTTATATATAAAATAATCATGTTACTCAAGTTCGATTTATTTTACTTTCAACTTAGATTTGACTTATTTTAAGTTTAAATCAAACTCATTTTTTAAAAAAATAAATCGAGCTTGAACATGTTTTGAGTTCGTCAAGCTGAGGTCGAACTCATTCCTTCAACTCTTTTACCATCCCTATCCCTAGTGAGGTTGTACTGGTTCACGCTACTATTAGATGGACTTTATAAATTGAACAGTTTGGGATAAAATTGAATCCCGATTGCTATGATTTTGTAGCATAGGAAGATGAAGTAAGTAACCAAGCAACTCTTAAGTCTTAACACAATCTTCTTTTTTTTTTACAAGGTATCCGGGTTTGCGTCCATACTCTCTCCATCTCCGCGTTGACTATCATGACTTAAACTGATTTAGAGNGGTCGAACTCATTCCTTCAACTCTTTTACCATCCCTATCCCTAGTGAGGTTGTACTGGTTCACGCTACTATTAGATGGACTTTATAAATTGAACAGTTTGGGATAAAATTGAATCCCGATTGCTATGATTTTGTAGCATAGGAAGATGAAGTAAGTAACCATGCAACTCTTAAGTCTTAACACAATCTTCTTCTTTTTTACAAGGTATCCGGGTTTGCGTTCATACTCTCTCCATCTCCGCGTTGACTTAAGCTGATTTAGAANTTTTTTACAAGGTATCCGGGTTTGCGTCCATACTCTCTCCATCTCCGCGTTGACTATCATGACTTAAACTGATTTAGAGCATGTCCCTAAAAGTATAAGGATAGCTAATCCTAATCCTCTAAGTTACTAAAAAACATGCCCACTTACTGTACCACTCCTGGATTCTCTTTTAACACTATCTTAGTCTGATAATTTACTACCCAGCAAAAAAGACAACTACTTTTACACATTCCTAACGTTAGTATATGTTCATGCACATGAGAAAATGAAGGGCTTAAGCAACTGGTGACTTACGCTACCCATATTTGGACACTTCCCTTTAGCCACCAGGCCATTGCCCAAATACAGAAGAACTCTCCAGTAAGATTGCCAACCAATTAGGTGGGTCAACGTTAGCTTTCCAATTAGTTGGCTTAGATATAACTTATCAACTTCGCATAAAATCGATACAAAATTAACGAATTTAGTTTAATTTTAATGGGTTCACGTAAAAAACCAGTAGACTTCGGATCTGTCAAATAAATGAGTCACTAAAAACATGACTAAACACGATCTGAACTTACTAACTATGAATGAAATTGATCAATAAAGTACAAATAGACCTAAATATATGGATTGCCATGAATATACACTATATCGACACCTAGCATCCCTAATTTTGCCGAGGAAGTGTCATGTGATAGAATTTCAAGAAATGCAGGAGATGATCAATTATAGATATATTTGAAAAGAAAGAAGTTACCATTAGGTAACTGTGGATGACAACAAAATCGTCGAAAAAGATGATTATAAAAGGGCATTCAATGAAGGAAGAAATACACCGTTCAAACCCCCAAAAGACCCACGATCAAGACATTATTAAGAATAATTTTAGATTAGTTTTATGAATAGTTAGTGTTGTAATCAAAGTTGTTTATTCAATCTTTTATAATTGAAAGTCCTTTCATTGAAATAATAAAATAATTTTCTTTATTAGTTCTTTGTTTTAACTTCATCCGTATTTAAGAAAAAATTTCATTGATTTCATCCAAGGAAATCTCGAAATAAGACATTGAACTCATTCCAAATAGTCAACCTAAAAACTGTTTGTCGATTCAAAAATTTCAATAAATTCCAACAAATTTTGAACAACAATATCAATATAAATACGACAATATGACAAAATTCATTCCAATACAATTTAAACACAATACAAATCTAGAATAATACAATGCACATTGTCACCCTTACCAGATAGGTTGGTCAATTATACCTTTGGGATTAAGCTAGTCCAAAAGGCACCCCAAGGACACCTGTAACGAGTGTAGAAGACACTTCAACCATAGTGAAAGGGACATGGGCATGCCCATTGGGTTATCATGTGGGACAAGGTAATGAGGAGACATCAAGATCATCACTTCACCAGAAGACAAGTTTAGGGTTGTCNCTAGTCCAAAAGGCACCCCAAGGACACCTGTAACGAGTGTAGAAGACACTTCAACCACAGTGAAAGGGACATGGGCATGCCCATTGGGTTATCATGTGGGACAAGGTAATGAGGAGACATCAAGATCATCACTTCACAAGAAGACAAGTTTAGGGTTGTTCGTTCAAAAGTTCAAACAGGAACTATGTGGATGTATTACTCGAAATAGAAGAAAAATGTGGGAATCTTGTGCAATAGAGCTCAATCCCTATGACTCGTCGCAAATGCTTTGTTTTCTTTCTTCCTTATGATTTGATGATAGCGTAACAATTCTAATTTCATTCTCTTTTGTCGCTATTAGGCTGTAACAATGTTTCATCTCTCTCCTCTTTTTGTACTTTTAGCGATTGATTTAATGATCATCATCCTGTTCTTTAAACTTAAAAATTTTATGTTTAAATCTCATCGTCTTTTTATCCTCTAATTCCTTTCTCTTTTGTTGTTATTAGGCAACAACAATATTTCATCTTCCACTCCTCTCCCCTTTTGACAGCCCATCCATTAATCAACCTATCTTGGCATTTTTGTCCACTTTCTTTTTTTATTTTATTATAATTGGTGTCGTTCATTTTACTCATAGCTTTGAATTTTTTTATTATAGTAAGTATTTGAAATATAAATAGTTAAACACAAACCACACGCATGGATTCGAAATAAAAACTTGGATTTTTTTGGAAGTTTGTCAATCTAGACTACCCATTAGTGTGACATTGTTAGGCTTTAGGCATTATGATTTCATTTTTACATTCTTCCTTCTGCTTGGAGTTTAGGAATCATCAAGTCATTTTCCAAGTAAATAATCGCACCGAATTTTTAACTAATTCACTTTATCATTCTGTCAATCAATCAAAGTCTCATGTCTTAATTATTTAAGATCGGTTCTATCAGTCTATTTTCATCATTTATTTCGATCATGCACTATACTCTTATTTTCGAATTTTTTAAGCAACCAATCGTAGTAGGTACGTCACTGTATAACTTGGGAAGGAGTCCATCCTGATGTCTACACAAAGAACAGAACACCCATACCATTGTAACAGTGTGCCACATTACCATGGAAATGCAACAATATTGCATACCAAATGCAGAGGAAACCATAGCATGTGGTACTTGGGAAATTCCTCATCCCCAATTTTTTTTTTCAATAATTAGTAGTGTTTGAGCAGTTTATACATATCTCGATTAATCTCCGCTCTGATCCAGTCAAAGTCAAACCATCCTAGTTGGAACTAGGGTATCCCACTCTAAAAAATTGCTAAGATTCGAAATTAAGACGTCAACGTTTATAACCTGTCCCTGTTATTACTTAAATTACCATTCATCTCCAAATTTTTCAAAGTAAACCGTTTTGGAATAATCACGACACTCATTCTGATACTTGAGCGGTATGTATATTGTCATTTCACCATCTTGAACAATGTGGGGAATGAGAATACTTTGACAAAATAGCTAATAGTGAGGTAAAAACATAGTGGCATGATGATCAAAGGAAACTCGAAAAGTTCTCCAGTTTTTTATCCCTTTGAGAAAACATGTAGGCACCCTTTTTTGTGCTTCAATGGGGGACAAGCACATAATTTTTTTCTCTGTTCCCACATAGCCGTTAGAAAAAAGCAACCAAGAGATGGACTTTAGTCTATAATCAGGAAGAAAGAGAAAAAAAAGAAAAAATTACAAGATAAAGATGCCCACAAATGATAGCAACTTGGATAGAAAAGATCCACACGATACCCTCTATTATTGGCTAAATTAACCATCAACCCAAAACCCTCCCAATCCCTTGAAAACAATCAGAAGGAAGATAGTTTTCTACTTGCCTGACTATAAATATTTTTAGGCTGAACATCTCAAGCAAGGTTCTATTAAAAAAAATAAGCTACAAAGTAAATAATATTTTGTAGAAATAGCTTGGTAAGAGCAAACCCAGTCTTAAAATAGATCTATCTCTTCATGGTGATGGAAGGTGGAGAGAAGTCACCAGTAGAAGCTCAAGCAAAAGATGATGAACATTTTAGCTGCCAAAAGCTGGTTACAAATCATAAGAAGAAGAAGAAGAAGAATGAGATCAGTAGGAGGTTTAGTGATGAGCAAATTAGGTGTTTGGAGTCTATGTTCAAGTTGGAGGCAAAGCTTGAGCCAAGTAAGAAACTGCAACTAGCAAGAGAGCTTGGGCTGCAACCTCGCCAGATAGCTATATGGTTTCAGAACAGAAGAGCTAGGTGGAAGTCTAAGCAGATAGAGCAAGAATACAGAGTACTCAAAACCAATTATGACCAATTAAGTTATCAGTTTGACTCCCTGAAGAATGAGAAACATTCCTTGCTCATACAGGTAATTCCATCTCTTTTTCTCCTTGTTCCTTCTTATTCTGTCTCTTCTCACTCATGGTTCAAAGTATAGACAGATACTAATCGAGTCATAGTTATCGAATTGGCCAGTATTGTTATATAACTTGAGCGTCTGCCCATGTTCAGTTTTCTTCTTCTATGAAGTACCATTTTATGTATATTACCCCGGCACCGATTTGTGCCACCACCATCGATGTGTTTAAGTACTCTCCGAGTAGAAGACCAGTACCATGACCTTAAACCAGCTTTGAGTAGTAATCCTAGTAGCTAATGAAAGAAGATAACTTTCGAAGGCCATTAACAATTTTATTTTATTTTTGGTTGTTTTCTTAACAGTTAAAGAGGCTGAGCGAACTGCTGATCAAAAAGCCTAATGATGGGGAAAGGGAAAGCAAGGATTTGGGGGTAATAAATAGCAGAGAAGGTGCGTGGAATAATGGGGATGATAGCTGTAAGTTTGAAAGAAACCCCAGTTTGCTAAATGAAAAAGTTAACCAAGGTGTGATTATGTATTCGGATGATGGTGGAAGAGGAAACTTTGCTTACTTTAGACGAGAAGAAGAAGAAGAAGCAGAACAACTGAAGTTCAAGCAGGAAGGAGAAGAAGCAGAACTACTGAACTTCAGGCAAGAAGAAGAACCAGAAAGACTAATTAACTTTGGTGAAGAAGAAGACATCTCCTTGTCATTACCTGAAAGATGGTGCAGCAGTGACTCTGGTGGTCTTGTTGATCAGTCATGTGGCACTTCAAACTGGTGGGAATTCTGGAATCTGGACTAAATGCACCAAAACCTGTCTGAATTTTATGCACACTGCGTGTGAAACTTCAAAGAGAGAGATGTTTCCCTGGAAAATCTTGACTGTTCCAATGGACTTTTCCCTTTCCTTCAACGTTCTCCTTCGGATTTCAAAACAGAGCTTTGATTTTAGGCACCAGTTTGGGTAACAAGGTATATTCGTCGGTGATTGAGCAATGAGAGAACAGAATATGATCAGAGACACCAGTAGGAAGAACTTGGGAAGGAGGAGCATGGTCAATTCGAAAATGAAAGAGCACAACAGCATGAGGGTTTTGACAAGTATAACATCTAGGATCAAACATAGAGAGAACATCATTTATTACTTGAAATTATAAGTGGCTTTGAGTGTTCAGTCAGTGTGTGTGTCTTGAAAACCAGAAAGTGATATGCATCTGCATGCAACTCCTCTTTTCCTGAATTGTTTTCTTGTGATACAATTGCTGCATTGCAAATTAGAAGGTAGAAATTGAATTGATGCAAGATTAGTTTCTTATATATAGAGTAACGGTATTCCAACTGCTGCTACTTAATCCATTTCCATAACATTAATGATTCAGGCTAGTGTGTAATTTTCATTAAAAAAATTCAGCTTTTTTGTCCCAACATTACAATAAGATCGGTGATTAATGTAGGATATAAAAAATAATCAAGCACTCAAAATATTCTCACACACAAAAAAAAATTAATCAAAACCCAAGAACTTAATCATGAAAATTTAAGGACAAAACGNTAATGTAGGATATAAAAAATAATCAAGCACTCAAAATATTCTCACACACAAAAAAAATTAATCAAAACCCAAGAACTTAATCATGAAAATTTAAGGACAAAACGAAGAAGACAAGAAAACACACAGACAAAGCACCTGAACTCTTTAAAGCTAAGTTGAGCCTTTTTGTTTGCCAAAAGTTTAAGTGTGCCACCTATGTGATACAAATGAGTTGTAGTCTGATTATATGAGTTGCACACTTTATCATTTTTTGTAATGGAGGCAAATAGAAAAATTCAATTGATATAATTAAAAAGTTTAAACACTCAATTAACATAAGAAAAAATCTAGAGACTTAAATAACACAAATGACTTAATTTGAGATAATTGAGACAAGGGGTGGTTTAATAGTTATAGATGTGTAGTTTACTGTACAAAATATAATATACTATTTAGTAACAGTGAAAGTGTGATCCACTAAACTATCCATGTACCCCAGTACAAAGAAACGAATGCTCACCACACAAATCTACAGCCTACAGTGCACCTCCACTGCCTTCACACTCTCACTCTCAACTCAAGTATAAGCACAAAGCACTCTTGGAGAGAAGACCACAAAGCAACGGTTCTCTCAATGTNTGAAAGTGTGATCCACTAAACTATCCATGTACCCCAGTACAAAGAAACGAATGCTCACCACACAAATCTACAGCCTACAGTGCACTTCCACTGCCTTCACACTCTCACTCTCAACTCAAGTATCAGCACAAAGCACTCTTGTAGAGAAGGCCACAAAGCAACGGTTCTCTCAATGTCAATCGCTTCACCCACTTCGTATTTGAGCTCTTTCAGCCTTTCTGTTAATGACTCTATCCTTTCATCTTCACCCTTAAAGTACCTTAAATTCCCACGTTTTTGGCCATGGCAGAAGGTAACTTCGAAAGAACACACACCCCCAATCTCTCTCTCNTGTTAATGACTCTATCCTTTCATCTTCACCCTTAAAGTACCTTAAATTCCCACGTTTCTGGCCATGGCAGAAGGTAACTTCGAAAGAACACACACCCCCAATCTCTCTCTCTCTCTCTCTCAATGTGTTACTTCGTTTAAGAGCATGTGTTTGATTGTGTGATAGGTAAAGTTGGGTCCACTTGCCGTATCTCCGATGGGGTTTGGGACATGGGCATGGGGAAACCAGCTTCTTTGGGGATATCAGGAATCCATGGACAGTGAGCTCCAAGAGGTTTTTAATCTAGCGGTTGAGAATGGTATTAATCTCTTTGACACGGCTGATTCTTATGGGACTGGAAGATTGAATGGCCAGAGCGAAAAACTTCTTGGGAAGTTCATCCGTGAGTTTAAAGCTCATTTCTTTTTCTTTTTCTTTTTTGCAAGTTACAATTCTATCAAAATTAGCCATGAATTAATAGGAAGAAAGAATGTCAATTCGAAATTTGCGTATTGCTTGATGTTTGTAAATTAATACATCTATTTGATTGATGGAATTAGAACTATCAAGCAATTTAGGGTTCGATTGATTTAAGCCTCACTGTGAATAATGGCATATTTGATCACCAGACCAGGACTTCTAAGGGTTAATGTAGACAATGCAGTCTGTTACTCTGTTTAATGTTTTAGACGAACCAATTACAAGAAATTTGTCTCCATTCTGATTTTATTCTCAGGGCAAAAGCAGATGCGAGATAACATCGTGATTGCTACTAAGTTTGCTGCATATCCATGGCGCCTGACTCCTGGTCAGTTTGTGAATGCTTGCAAGTATGTTACCTCCGCCTTCCTTTCTCGTTTAGTGCTGATTGAATTGAGCAGATAACTGAATTCTTTTTTAATGGAGTTTCTCAATTACTGTAAATAAATATCTTCATGTTAATACGAAACATATCTTTGCTGCAAGATAGCAAATTGAGAATTGCTATGCTATCTCTTAGAACCAATCAAAGCTTTTGAGTCTGTGCAGATGAACTAAGATATTGTTTTTTACCACCTCAGTTGCAACTTCTTGATGAACCGGATAACTAAACAACAGAATTCAACACAGACATGCCCAAGAAATCTTATTGACAGAATTTGATGCAGAAATTTTCAGGTCTTCTCTGGAGAGGATGCAAATTGAGAAAATTGGAATAGGACAACTACACTGGTCAACTGCAAACTATGCCCCTCTGCAGGAGCAAGCTCTTTGGGATGGTTTGGTGGCAATGTATGATAAGGTTACCATGAATTCATCGTTAGATTTAGATCTAATTAATTCCTGAGAAATTGACTGCATTTCATTTGCTTACTAGTTAAAAGCTGTGTAATCACTTCAGGATTTTCATAGTGCTTATAGTTTTGCAAGAGCTCCGATCATTTGATATTTATATTTCCCTCATAGTGATGATTCTTTGTTTGTTATGATTTTGAATTATTATGCTTTCACATGCTGAGGGAATGAAACTGTTGGCTTGATTTCTACATTGTTTTTTCAGAGGACCACATACCTATAGTGTGACCAATATCTGGATAGTGGATAGTTAGTTCATGAGATCGTGTCTTGCAGGGTTTAGTTGAAGCAGTGGGGGTTAGCAATTATGGTCCAAAGCAGCTTGTGAAGATACATGATTACCTTAAAGCTCGAGGAGTCCCTTTAAGCTCAGCTCAGGTATCTCGTTCTCAATTTTAATCAGCATTAGTGTGGTGATGGCTTTCATGTGATACTAATTTAGCTTCTTTTGACTCCCTGGTCAATTAAACAATTCTATTGCATTAGGGCATGCCGAGTTTTGGCATCTTGGTAAATGAAAATATTGTAAGTTGGATGCAAATATTATGTAAATACCCCAAATTGATGGATTGATTAAAGTTGTTTCGATGAATGGGTCACCTCAGGGTTAGCTTAGCGTTGGCTATTCACCACTTACCACTACTTCTTTTTGCAAAAACTTGCCAAAGTTCGTATCTGGTAGACCCTACCAGGGGCCTGTGTATGCAGGACCAACACAGGGTAATGACTCTGTTACCATATAGCACGTGGTGTGCATGGTAGGGTCATGTACTTCTACATTAGAATGATCTTTTCTGCTTGAAATTTGGGTATGCTGTTCTATTTTACTGGAAAACCCCGAATTCCAGGTGCAGTTTTCATTGCTGAGCATGGGAGAAGATCAGATGGAAATCAAGAATACATGTGACTCTCTGGGTGTCCGCTTGATTTCTTACAGTCCTCTGGGGCTTGGAATGCTTACTGGAAAATATACACCTTCTAATCTTCCACGTGGGCCTCGGTACTTAGATCTCTCTTCCTTTGTATCTCTGCTTGGTAAATAAAAAGCAGAGGCAAAAATTTTAACTTCTAATACTAGTCTTGTTCACACAGTATTCTCCCTTGTTCTTCTACAGGGGTCTGTTGTTCAGCCAAATTTTACCGGGGCTGCAGCCTTTGTTGAGTTCACTAAAAGAAATTGCACAAAAAAGAAGCAAAACTATCCCACAGGTCCTTCTACATGACTTTCTTTATTATTTGCTTCATGTCTACAGAAGTGGAATGTTTTCTATTCAGTGTTATCACTTTAGAAGCTTGATGACATTGTTAAGAGCTAGTATTTGTAATGTTATGATTTCAGGTTGTTATGTTTAATATCTGAGTTGTCTGTTGCGTATGCATTTTTATAACTTGGTTGGTATAACATTTAGTTGGTATCTGATGTTTCAAGTGGAAGTCTGGAAAGATTNGCTCCTTCCCACACTTATCCAACTTCTTAGACATACCAAACATCGATGTTTCAGTCGATTCTTCATCCAAATTCTCTTTAATAATATCCTCACACATTTCATCTTCCATCCAGCAAACTTCAAATTTGAAAAAAAAATTCTTCTTCTTTGACAATGGCTCCAAAATGATGATGATGGAGCAATGGTCCGATCCGACCCTGACTTCATGAATAACCTGCATAAAGGGATGACACATACTCTATACACGATTGACTAATACTCTGTCCAATCTTTCTTGCACATTTGCTATCCCCGGCCTATTATTTGACCATGTAAATTTTGGCCCTTTAAAATCCATATCAAGCAGATTACACACAGAGATAAGACATTATAATTCTTCCATCCTAGTGACCTTACTAGTTCCCCCCCCCCCCCCCCCCCTCTTCCCCTACTTATTGTTCTCGTGTGAAGTGACTTTGCGTTCACAGTTCTCCATGTAATGAAAGATTTTGTTGGCAGGTTGCTATAAACTGGTGCATCAGGCAGGGTACCATTCCTATACCTGGAGTTAAGACGGTTAAACAAGCAGAGGAGAATTTGGGTGCCCTTGGTTGGTATCTCAGTCCAAAAGAGTTGCTTCAGTTAGAATCTGCAGCGCAGGAATCTCCTCGCAAGATGATCCAAAACATTTTTCAGACAAGGTGAAGCAGCTTCTATTGTATCAGCTTCTTCCTGGGAAAGAATCCCTGCCCCCTTTTCTTTTCTTTTTCATTTTCCTTTTTCCTTTCTCTTTTGTAAATTTCCCAAAATTCATACATCGAACTACTTTTTTGTCTGCTACTGTTTCCTTTACAAACTACAGATAACATTTGGAAGTTATGGCGAATAAAGTGGCATCCATGAAAACACAAAAGCAAGCAAGACACAAGTGGTCTTTTATTTGTGCATTTATGTGAAAATTGGCAAGACAATGTTCATATGTCTTGGCCAATAAAANGATAACATTTGGAAGTTATGGCGAATAAAGTGGCATCCATGAAAACACAAAAGCAAGCAAGACACAAGTGGTCTTTTATTTGTGCATTTATGTGAAAATTGGCAAGACAATGTTCATATGTCTTGGCCTTGTCCAGAGCTTCAAAACCCTTCAATTCAAGGGCACATCAGTCTAAAATATCAATGTCCCACAGCCATCACATGGCTCAAAAACAGATGTACCAACCTTGAGCTTTTGATGGATACGATTAATGCATGACAGTAGCTAAAAAAGCACAGGTTCGGACCAACCACATTGTGGGAAGAAAAACGATATTAGACTTATTGCTGACAACTATTGGTCCAAAACAGTCTGGGATCCAAAGCGAAAAATGCAATGATGTCTGATATAAATTAGGAGAAAGAAAGCTCAAATCTCCATGACAATCAACACAAAGTAAACAAGCGTCTAGATCAAGTCTCCATGACAATCAACACAAAGTAACATAAGCGTCTAGATAAACACGGGTCTAAAACTACACTTTTATCCCCTTAAAGTCTATCAGCAATGGCATGCGGTCAGCTATCTACTTGATCTTCTTCTTGGGCCTCAATTGGTTGCTATGCCCGCACTTCTTTTTCCTGCAGTTGACAGCACGAGGGTGCAGACGAGCATAACATCTGTGGATAAAGTTCAACCATGAGAATTACGATAACACATCACACTTCAAGCATTTGAAGACGAAATACTAAAACCAGAAAATATAGCTGTTGAACACGTGATGGAACAGAATAATAAGAACTGCATGACATAGTTCTATCTGAAGCCCCAAGAAGTATTTGATTTCCACTTCTTATTGTTCTGTCGTCATACTCTTGATTCTAAGGCATGTAATTGAAGTATCACAAAGAAAAGAGAACTATTATCTCAGTGATACATCTCAAAGGACAGTGCTTGAAGGAAGGTGGTACAATATAGTTGCTCTGCAAGTATGCAAAAATCACAAGTATGGTGGAATACGATGTTAGACAACGCTTAGATAAAAATAAGGTTTCTAGAAAGAAAGAAGCATACTGGAATTAGAAAAACTTACAGGAGATTTACAAATAATCAGGGAGAAATTCTTCCATCTTTTTTCTATCAAATGTCAAATTCAAATTCTTAAACCTAGTGAAGCATATGTGTGGCTGAAAGACAAACCGAGTCTCATAGGGAACCAATATCTCGTTGATCAGCTTATAGTGAACAAATACTAAACCCAATTCAATTTTTATTTTTTTTTTGGCCAAAAGGGTGCTTTCAAGAAATAGGCTTAACTCTAACATAAGGCTGTGTCCAAAGCCTCCAAATGCATGCCGTCAAAAAAGGCATGGCATCACAGAAACTAGCTGAGTATTACTTCCCATGAGTGTAATTGTGTTGTTTGAAGAAGATTATCAAGCCTTTGAAGGATGACTGTAGCAGAATCACTCGCTCAATATTAACAGAAGAGATAAATACTGTTTTCAGAAGCGCTCGGGGTAGTGAAGGCAAATTTTAGGTTGAATTCCAAATAAGGAGACTCAAAATAAGAGCCTCATAGGACCCAACCTGAATTCTATGGACTAAACATCACTTTGTTGGCTTATCTGACATTAATTACATCTCTTTGTCCACCTCATGAACTGCCTAAACAACAGTCCACAGTTCACTCAAATTATTTACTCCTCGACAACATAACGTACGTGAGCTTCAAGCAGTTTAAGAGCAACAAACTCCTTAAAATTCCCGAGTTCTAAATCTCAGCTTCACACAAAAAATTTAGTTTTTTAAGGATTTCTAAATTAAACAATAAGGCCAGGCTGAAGCAAGATAACACAATAAAAATTCACTTCTTTCCTGGATTTAGCTAATTTATAAAAGTTAAAGATAACATCCGTTGAAAACTTAAACATAGTCCACCGAATAATGTTTCAAATGTCATTTGTATGATCAATCAGTCAAAAAAAAGAGGGGAAAAAAAAAAGCCTCTTGTTGGTCTGAACTTACTTGCGGCAGATCATCTTGTCCTGGTTATATTTTCGAGCTAATGCCATCAGTGACGGCTCTATGATGCCACCCCTAAGCCTCAGAACAAGATGAAGAGTCGATTCTGCACATCCATTCAAATCAAAATAAAAAAATTAAGAAACAGAGATAATAGAATTAGTTAAATGGGTTCATGATTTAAACGAACCTTTCTGGATGTTGTAGTCGGCGAGAGTACGGCCATCTTCTAGCTGCTTACCGGCGAAGATCAAACGCTGCTGGTCCGGAGGAATACCTACAACAATTACACTTCAGATCATGGGAAAACGGGAAAAGGGCTCAATAATATGCAATTCAAGAAATGAAAGCAGTTCAATTTTAACAAGTTGATACCTTCTTTGTCCTGAATCTTGGCCTTGACATTGTCGATGGTGTCGCTCGATTCGACCTCTAGTGTTATGGTCTTCCCAGTCAGAGTTTTCACGAAGATCTGCATTTTCCCTCTCCTCTACCTCTGCCACCCTTCGCCTCCGCACTTTTTTTTCCTCACGAATCAAAAACCCTAGCTGACTCTATATAGGCGTACCGAGGGTTAGGGTTTTCTGTGTTTTCATCAGACGTCGTCGTTTGTCTCAAGTGAACAATTTTTTATTAAATTTAATTAAAAATGGGGGAAAACCCCTAAAATTAAAAAATTCCAAAACAAAATAATAGGATATCTAGGAAATTCGTAAAATAATATTTAATACCAAAAAAACTCAATTTCTAAGTTCCCTTGAATATGTTATTTGGATTCAAATAATATTTATTTATAATTATACCAATAATGAGATCCCTTTATATTTAATAGTTTTTTAATNGGATATCTAGGAAATTCGTAAAATAATATTTAATACCAAAAAAACTCAATTTCTAAGTTCCCTTGAATATGTTATTTGGATTCAAATAATTTTTATTTATAATTATACCAATAATGAGATCCCTTTATATTTAATAGTTTTTTAATGACATGAGTCATCGTGATCATAAACATAAAATAGAAGACATTATTGTCTAAATACATAATTATTCTAACGGTATTTAGCGTACCCCAGATGATATTTTTGAAGTATCTATAATATAATTAAAAAGATTAAGCATGATTATTCATTTACCCTAGAAAAATAATTATTCACTATTTTTAAAAATTAATGTTTGTGTTTTTATATATACTAGTTGGTGCACACGTGTGTTACACGTGGACCATTTCGAGTATCAAATATTACTTATTGGTGATGTTAAAAATCATGAATTTCAATAAATTATACAGATTCGTCGTATCTTTGTCAGCTTTTGTAGACAAGTTTTTGAACTCTCTTGCTGGTTAGATGTCGGTTATAAGTTAAGTGGTGTACATTATTTAGTAGGAAAATTTGGAGGTCGATCCTCCTATATGGACTTGTTTGGACTTAAGTCCGTTAAAGAAACTTATTTGTTATGAAGTCAATTTTTGTCAATTTTATCATACTATTCTTTCCCTTTAGAAGTGAAATAAAACTAAAATTTAAAAACTTTTAAATCTTAGGAGTTTGATTAACATTAAAATCTTTTCTCTCTCATATCTATTTATATTTATATATAGGTTAAGAGTTTGACTAACATTAAAATTTTTCTTTTCATATCTATCTATATCCATATATAGGTTAAGAGTTTGACTAATATTAAATTTTTTCCTCTCATATATATCTATATCCATATACATGTTAAGAATTTAACTAACATTAAAATTTTTCCTCTCTTATCTATCTATATATAGGTTATATTTATATATATAGTAGCATTAAAAATAAAAAATAGTAACATTCAAATACAAAAAATAAAAGTTATCATTTGGATACAAAAAATAATACATTTAAACATAAAAAAATAGTAACATTTAAACATAAAAAAATTTGAAAANCCGTTAAAGAAACTTATTTGTTATGAAGTCAATTTTTGTCAATTTTATCATACTATTATTTCCCTTTAGAAATGAAATAAAACTAAAATTTAAAAACTCTTAAATCTTAGGAGTTTGATTAACATTAAAATCTTTTATCTCTCATATCTATTTATATTCATATATAGGTTAAGAGTTTGACTAAAATTAAAATTTTTCCTCTCATATCTATTTATATCCATATATAGGTTAAGAGTTTGACTAATATTAAATTTTTTCCTCTCATATATATTTATATTCATATATAGATTAAGAATTTAACTAACATTAAAATTTTTCCACTCTTATCTATCTATATATAGGTTATATTTATATATATAGTAACATTAAAAATAAAAAATAATAACATTCAAATACAAAAAAAAAAGTTATCATTTGAATACAAAAAATAATACATTTAAACACAAAAAAATAGTAACATTTAAACATAAAAAAATTTGAAAAATTCAATATTAATATTTTTAAAAAATAACAACAGTAACATGTTCAATAAAAATATTAACATGTTCAACAAAAATAGTAGCATGCTTAACAAAAATTGTAACATGCTTAACAATAATTATTTACATGGATATAAATAGATATGAGAGAGAAAAGATTAGTCAAACTATATATGGATATAGTTAAACTCTTAATCTATATATGGATATACATAGATATGAGAGAGAAAANATTAAGTTGAGAACCTAGAAATCTACTTCCAAGTTTTTTGCTAGGTCTTGTTTTTTTTTTTTCCAGCAATTAAATGGAAGTATTGTTCACAGAAAATTGAAAGCTAAATTATCTACTTGTGTAAGTAGAAAGACAAGAAATTTTTTTGAAATAATAATACATAATGCATAGTTTAGTTTTAGGCATTAACCACTTTACCTTAAGATTATGGTTTGAAAATCTAGTCAAGTCACAGCTAGTTGGAGATATTTAGATATGCACCTAGCATACTCACCGGATTGATTATGTGTAAAACTCAACATTTGGTCAGACATTCAAATTTGTAGAGAAAAAAAATCAAGAATCAAGTGTGAGAAGGAAAAAAATTACTTTTAATTTGTAAACAAAATATATATCTAATACGATATGAACACTAGAATATGAGAAAGTTCAAAAATATAAAACGTATACATGTCAAAGATACAACAAATTTAAATAATATAATATATTTTTAGACAATAATAAAATCATAATATATTAAAAATAAAGCTTATTTTATAATAATATTAATAATAAGATCTAGCAAATATTATTTTTTTGATTAAAATTAAAATATATCAAAATAAACGTCTATAATTTTCACCAAACATCATTACATACATTAACGTTCATACTACATAAGTTGCATAACCANAAATAAAAGTTATCATTTGGATACAAAAAATAATACATTTAAACATAAAAAAATAGTAACATTTAAACATAAAAAAATTTGAAAAATTTAATATTAATATTTTTAAAAAATAACAACAGTAACATGTTCAATAAAAATATTAACATGTTCAACAAAAATAGTAGCATGCTTAACAAAAATTGTAACATGCTTAACAATAATTATTTACATTGATATAAATAGATATGAGAGAGAAAAGATTAGTCAAACTATATATGGATATAGTTAAACTCTTAATCTATATATGGATATACATAGATATGAGAGAGAAAAGATTAACTTCCTTTCAAGGAAGGGTATTTTTGAGATAAAAAAAAAGTGGACTTAAGTCATTACATATAATTTTAAACATAGATTTAGCCCCTTATAAGTTTCTTTGCAAGATTTATCTTCAAACAAGTACATCTAGGAGGACTCACATCTAATTTTTACTATTTGGTATTTACGAAAAATAATTAAGTAGATAGTCAATAATCAAGAATTAGAATCAATTGTTCACCAATAAACTCATCATTTGAATAACTTCAACAAAATCAAAAGGAGAATTATCATATGTTGATTTGGGTAATTCAAGAACCCCTCATCTTCAAGTTTGAATATTTTCAATTTGCTCTTGGACCCCTTCTTGACTCATCTTTTTTATCTTGAGAACCTTACTCTAGCTTTCTACTTCTTGGAGGAGATATTTCTTGCCTCCATTTAAGTGTTTGTGCTTGTCATCATCTTTTCCGACTGTTGCGTGGGTGATAATTATTGTTGTTGCATTCTTGTTATAAAATCAATCAAACATTATTTCTTTTTTGCCATGACATAACAGACTTAAATTAACCTAATAATTTAAAAGAGAAATCATACAACTCAACTTAAGTAGAGTGTTCCTTTAATTGAATTTAGTTATCTATAATCCAAGTTTGTTGTCACTCCAAACAGCTTGAGTGGTTAGCAATAGCAAAATAAGAATTGTATCTAAAGAGAAGTTTAGTGTTGTTTTTTTAACATTTATATATATTGGAAATTCTGTATAATTTCATCATTACCCACACAATAGAATAAAAAATAACTCTTGACCTATGACAAGTTTTTAGCCAAATAAAATTCAATGTCTTCTGTTAACCAAGATTAACAAAAAAATTAATAGTTAATTATAGGAAAAGAGAATTTATATAGAGAACTTCTGTAATAGTTTATAATAGCAAAATTAAAGGAAAAAAGGAAGTCATGGAGAGAATCTCTCTCTTAAAAGACAAATAAATAGCTAATTAGACATCTTAATTGATGTCTCATTCGTAAAATTTGTCATATTGACCAGTTGGTTGAGTTTCTTGATGTCTAAAACTTATGAATGTATCCTGGGAAACTCAATTGATTTGGCCGAGTTTCCTATGTTACAAATAAATCAAGACAATATCTTCATCTTTGTTTTCTGCTCTCTTCCATTCGTAATTATATGATTTTCTCATCAAATTCTTTTTGATTTTAAATAATAAGTATTTAGTTCAATAAATAATTTCCTAATTAAAGCACCGAGTTTACTTTATAAAAGTACTACAATCATTAACATCTAAATTCACTTACTTTCTACATAAAAATTCAAATTAGCTTCTACCTAAATAGACCTAATACTACAACTACATCTTTTTTTGGAAGGTAATATTACAATTACCTTATTAAGTAGAGAATATAAGAATCAATGTTCAATTTTATTAAGTTGAGAACCTAGAAATCTACTTCCAAGTTTTTTGCTAGGTCTTGTTTTTTTTTTTTCNTCACCAATAAACTCATCATTTGAATAACTTCAACAAAATCAAAAGGAGAATTATCATATGTTGATTTGGGTAATTCAAGAACCCCTCATCTTCAAGTTTGAATATTTTCAATTTGCTCTTGGACCCCTTCTTGACTCATCTTTTTTATCTTGAGAACCTTACTCTAGCTTTCTACTTCTTGGAGGAGATATTTCTTGCCTCCATTTAAGTGTTTGTGCTTGTCATCATCTTTTCCGACTGTTGCGTGGGTGATAATTATTGTTGTTGCATTCTTGTTATAAAATCAATCAAACATTATTTCTTTTTTGCCATGACATAACAGACTTAAATTAACCTAATAATTTAAAAGAGAAATCATACAACTCAACTTAAGTAGAGTGTTCCTTTAATTGAATTTAGTTATCTATAATCCAAG